ACAAATGGACAGCTTTGAGTGGGCGAACAGCGAAAAATGACACAACCGAACTCAGGAGGGGCCAAACGGGAAAGTTCTGAACATGCTGGCGCCTGCTGGTGGCATAGACCTCCCAACTTGGAGTGACATCTCCGCACCTATAGACATGATGTTCGGCTCCCCAATGAATATCCAGCTTCTACATGTGCACATCTTGCTTGCTAATCGTGCAAAAGACAAAAGGCTTGATTTTGCACATCTGTCTGTCTCGTTCATCTGAACATATGTTTCAAACAAGACCAGGGATTGTCCTATGCATCCCTGGGCAAATTCACACCAGTTGGCAGGACAACTGTTGCTGCAACTGTGCATGACTTCACTACGACCCTGCTCCAAATTGGCAATTGCCGCCTGGGGAATGATTTGCCAGCCATGTGGCAGTCTGTTGCGTCCCTTGACATAGCAAGATCTTGTCGCACAACTGTGCCAAGTGTGTATGCCGACATCATGCAATGCTGAAACGAAACTGTAGTAGTGATGTGGATTCACCTGGAAGATGTCAACATGACTGTTTCGGGACATGTAAGGCAACCGACCTTCAACACGCAATCTTGAGATATTGTTCATCATGCAGCACGGTCAATTTCATGTGCATGAGGGTGCGTCCTGTCTGCTATGTTGTACCTTGATGTTTTGATATGCTTTGCAAGAATCGCCATCACTTCCCAAGTTCTTCGTCATGCGTGACGCACGGCCCCCGTCTTGCTTGCACATGATGATGCTTTTCTCAAGCAACACCAGTGTGTACTACTGCTGATTGCCGCATCGTAAGTGACAAACTGGCTGGGGGCCAAACGATATTTGTGAATAGGCAAATGGCGGTCGACTGGATTTCCTCTTTGGTCTTCGTCCAATTGAGTTCCACCCTTCCCCGGACGCGAAGCGCGACATTGCGAAATGTTTCGAGTAACAATTTGCATAAAACGGTTCAAGGTTGCTTTTTTGATTTTACAGTTCAAAAGTAAAGGCGTAATTCACATTTAGAAATACAAACTAAAGAAAATCATCTCATTAGCAAAAGGCCAGTATTAACTTCGAGTTTAAAATAATGTGCTGGAATACCCCGCTAATAAGACTGTTGTCAGGATTGGCGCGAAATTCGGCAGGATTAGTATTGGCTTAGAATTTGCGTATTCTAAAAGTAGTATTGGGGGCCCGGCGGCGTATAGGGAAAAACAATATGGTTTAATAGGGCGAAGTGATCGAGAGGGATGGACCGAGCCTCGCTGATTTTTCCTTTTAGCACCAGCCCCAGTCCCTAGAGCTCTTAGGCAACTGCCCACAGCCCAGGCAACGTGCTAGTCCTTGCCCTTCGCACCCCAGTTGTTGGCCTCAATCCCTTGCGCCCGTACAACGCACGCGCGGTGGCCGGCCAAATCGAAGTGGCCGGCCAGACCGCTTGAGTTTTAAGTTCCACAGTGTGCTATCCTGTTCAGAGACGCCAACCGAAGTACACAATGGGTGCTTTAACCGACTGTGCGTTTCAGACCTGTGATAATGTGTCGATGTGTAGCGCCATGAGTTCATGAGGCTGACGCTTGCACAAGGACTGCCAACCCCCCCCCCCGCCCCGGTACGTGAACCATGAAAGCTGAAAAAGGAGCTGTGCTTGATGTGGGTGTGCAGTTTGCACTTTTGGGGAGGATTTGTTGGTGGCATCGTATTACAATGGGGATTCATGATTCATGTCCACCAACCACCTAGGTTGCCCAAAGTTCATGGCCAACTTACTTTACTGAAGCTGCCAAGCTGCAAGGATCTTGGAACGGATTCCCGGCGCCGGTGCAAGCTATACCTAAAGCGGCCACTTGATGGCGCACACAATGGGATGGTGTAAGATTAAGAGGCGGCAGATTCGAACCCCCTGGACTTTTTGCGTCTCCACCAGCGTGGTTTCATGAGTTCGGCATGGTTTCTCTAGTTTTGCACTCACTTGCACAAATGGGCGCGGATTCATTTCGGGAAGCCAAAAGTGAGAAAAACTAACAAAGACAAGACACGATTAAAACGAGAACAATAAAACAACTAAAAAACAAAACGAAAAACAACTACCCCTCCTGCAACAACCGCCACTAGGGTTTCGGGCGCTGCTCAAACTGGCCATGCCTGCACTCCCGGAGGGCTTTGATTACGCGCCCAGCTCGAGGAAGCGATCGATCGACATATGGCATAGCAAACTACGGTAAGGAGTGGCACAGATCTGATATATGAGCATCAGTCCTTATAAGAACAGGAATTTATCCAGTAGGAAATATAACGGTCTTTCGGAAAAAACAAAAGCAGAACCTCTGTAATATACTAAGATATTTGAATTGTATAAGAATGTTCGCTATTCACAAGGGGTCCATCTACAGTAACGCGGCAACAAACTGTGCAGCTGAAAGAAGGGAAGGAGTGAGATAACTACAACGGGCAGCGCAAGCACGCCACTTCTACAGGTCCCCTGAATTGGACAACCTTGAAGCCAAAGCAAAAACACCAAGAACTGCCAACATGTTCTTGCAGCTAGGAAAACACAAGCATCAGTTGAACCGTCAAGGAGGGGATTAGACAAAGGCAGCCCACGTATCAGAAGAAAATGCATCAGACTATAGCTAATGTCTCTGGGCGCATTCCGTGACCATTCCAAACCAATGAAGAATTGCCTTGCCAGACGTTGGATTCAAACAACCCAACGTTGCTTCCCCTGGAAAATAACAACCAAACTTGGACATCTGGGGTACAATGAAAAACACATATTCAGATTCTGTCTCATACCTAGTCTTTTAAACACATGATCTGGAGGAGACCCCAGCAAACACCAGCCAGGACACCCTGATTCAAGTAGCGCTTCACATAATTTGGGGTTTGCATTCGGGTTTGCTCGCGTGGCTGTGGAAGCGGCGGGTTTGAAACACACTTTCCACCGGCAAACTGAGAAGCACTGTTCACGTGGAACATCACCCGGAATCTGTGATAACATTGGCCATCCCCATTGTCGCCTTAAAGGGGATTCTCACACAGAAGCTGAAATCTATCTCCACCACAAATACACACACACACACTTACACACACACACACTTACACACACACACACTTACACTTACACTTACACACACACACACACACACGCACATTGCTGTTCATTCGGATTCCCTTGGTATCACACAGAGTCTAAACCACGGCCGGAGTTTGCGAGTGGTTGGCCTTTCGTTTTATCTCTGGACTTAGGATCGTATAGCCAAAATCCCTTTTCACCTAGCATACCTAGCATTTTTTTTGGAAGCCCCATTGTCCACATGTTCAGCGGTTCGGCCCAAAGCGCAAAGCACGCAGGAAGAGCAAAGCAAGCACCGAGCGGGCCAGCTTTGCCAGCCGTTGGCCTGAGGAGGCTTGGACTGCATGGGCCACAAGTGATCGCGCCAAATCCATGAGAATGTTTCGTGAAGGGGTTCACATGAACACCTCTGCGCCCCGCTGTCCGTCAAGGTGTCTGGTTCCTTCCTACATTCGGTCCCGGGGATTCAAGTTGGCTATGCTTGCCGCAACCGACTCGTGCAAGGGGTCGAGTCACGAGTCGGTGACCATGACGGGTATTGAAGACTTTTTCTGCATGGGCTCAAACACAAGGGACTTCAACCAGAGGCAACGGCGCAACCTGCCAAGGCCAACGTGTCTAACCCAGTGACAGACCAGGGCTCCTGTTGCACCTACACCAAGGCAACATGTAACATGGATATGGACCTGATTTTGCATGTTGGCCAAATGCCCCCGTGCAACAACCAAGGGAAACCAAGCCCCTAGTTCAAGACACACCCATATTTTCGCATGTTGGTATGAGTTGAACTGGTGCGAGGTCAAACCTCGGCTCGCCTGTGCTGGACATCGACTGACGAGGAAACCGCTGCAAGTATGGTACCTCCTGGACTACTCTTTTGATGGCAAGCAACATCCTCATCTGTGTAGAAAACACGCACGCACAAAGACAGACACACAGACACACAGACACACAGACACACAGACACACAGACACACAGACACACAGACACACAGACACACAGACACAGACACACAGACACACAGACACACAGACACAGAGATACACAGATACAAACACACAGACACAAACACAAACACAAACGCGGACACGGAGACATACAGACATACAAACATGCAGACATACAGACATGCAGACACGCACACATACACACAGACACGGAGAACACACAGACACACAGACACAGACACACAGACACAGACACAGAGAACACACACAAAAACAGACACATCGCTCATTTGCAGCCACCCAACTTGCAGAACCGGCTGAAAATTGGCAACGCCGGTTGACGCATCAAAACCTTTGGCCCAGGCGGAACGGGCTTTGCAGCCGCTTGAGGGCAAGCTCCATGGTTGGAACACAGCGCTCGCAGGGAAACGCGATTCGCTTTGTGACCCGGCGATTCGCTTCACTCCGATCAACTCGGAAGGAACGTGTAGCAAGCATTGCGACAAGTCCCCTGGAAAAAAACATACTTCCAGTACTGATAGATTCCCCTTAAAAGCAACAGGGCAAAATATTCTTAAGCAAATGGAAGACAACCTTGTCCATGCTTCTTTGAGTTGGCAGAAGCGCGCCGTGGCACAAGCTGGCAACAAGTAGCTTGAGAAGCGGCAGCCATCGCCCCGTGTGTGACAGCTCAAAACACCTTGGTGGCTTCGTTAAATCTTCACGGCCATCGAAATCCTATTGAGCGAGACTGGCACGCGGGCTCCCACTCCTTTCCCCTCCCTGCCTCGAACAACCGAACCGATCAAAACCTAGAGGTTTACCCGACATGCAAAGAAACCAACCAGCGGCCTTCCAACCCTTCACAGCTAGGCTCTCCGAACTCTTGCATTTTTAAATCAAACCCGCGGAATTCCATGGCTAGGTCCGCTTACTTCCCTTCACCGGGCTTTGACTCGTGACGGTTTGTTTCCGCCTCACGTCCAAGTCCTGCAACTTGCTGAGGTGCCCGAGATCTCCCGGCAGCGCCTCACGACTTTGAACAATTATCGTCACTTGAGTTGAGATACCACAACCCAACTTGCAAACTTCCATTTGCAATTTGCCCCCAGTATCCCCCACCTAGGGTTTCAAGAACCTGTAAAAATGTCGTATCCTGACTAAAACATCGTGTTGTTTTCTTGATTTTCTACAGTGCAAGATTCCCTCTAACACACTCAGGAGAACATTTAAACCAAATCTGTGTAACCAAACGGATCCACGGATGGCGTCAGGTAGAGTGAGCGTGAATTGATCGAAAGGTGCCGGAAAGCCGTTTCAGTTCACACCCGCGGCAAATTGAGCATGAACCAAGGCTTGGGTACCCCCCCACACATAAGGGGGCTTCTAATTTGGCGGCTCGTGGCTTCTGTTTGGAGTGCTATTGGCTATACGATTGTTTCTTTGTTTGTTTGTTGGTTGTTTGTTTGCTTTTTCTGTGTGTGTTGTTCAGATTGTCGGTTTGGTGCGGTTTGATCTGTGTGTGTTTGCCTGGTCTTCTGTTGTCCGTCAGTCCGTCCCTCCGCTTGCTTGCTTCCTTGCTTGCTTGCGTGTCTTTGGGCTCTTGTCTTTGTTTCTCCGTGTGTCCCTTCGCGCGCGTCGTGTCTCTCGTGTTTCCCAAGCTGGCACCCGGGTGGGTGTTTTTGCGGCTTCCGTAGACATGCCCCTCGAACGCGGTGGGCCTTGTGAGCCAGCGAAGACAAGGCAACGCTCGGTTTCACTAAGGGCCAAAACAACCATGCCGCACGATATACATTGTATACATACACACTTGGTCTGAAGGAAAGAAAGAAGGAAAGAAAGAAAGAAAGAAAGACAGAAAGAAAGAAAGAAAGAAAGAAAGAAAGAAAGAATAGAAAGAATAGAAAGAGAGAAAAAGCGAGACAAGCAGACACAAGACACAGGACACAACACACAACGATACACAGACCAAGAAAGAGAGGTATAAGAGATATGCGTTGTTTTAGGGACAACGCACACACACTGTCCAGCGCCAATAGGCACTGCAATCGACACTCTCTGACTGTCAGGTTCAAATGTGACTCGATAGCAACCGAGCCATGCACATTCAGCTGGTTGGTGTGCGCGCAAAGGATTTCCAAGCCTCGGCCGTCGAATTGGCAGCCCAGTGCCCCTTACAGGCGCCTTTTTGGGGTTCACGATTCGGGCACCAAATGAGAAGGAAAGGATGCCAATGACCAACTTGGGAAGTGGAGAACATGAACCGTGGATGCAAAAAATGGAAAAGTAGGCAACCACAAAGACAGCGCCAAAATAGCAGCGCAAGGCTGCAAAAGAACGCTGCCCATGTGCCAGCGTGGATCTCAACTTAATCTCTGCATGTCTCGTAGATGCGCACCCATTAGGCATGACTCCCCAGGTATCTGACTTCCTTCTGGCTTCGAAGCCAAAATAAGGCACTCCCCATTTCGGGACACACAAATTTTCCCGCTAGAGCAACTGGCAATGTCAGCAAATCACCATCAAAGTGAAAGAAACAAGGAATAAAATGGTTGTTACTTGCTCTGTTTCTTGGTCTGTTACTTGGTTTGCCACTTGGATTGTGTACTTGGTCGTTGAGGTCGAGGACGGCACTGCGCAGCTGTGTGATAGAGTCCGGAAGGCTCTCCAGCTGGTTCACAGAAACCTAGGCGCAGGGCTTGCAAGCCAAGCCACTGGCTGTGGGTATTTGGGGAGGGGAGTTTGCTTGGTGGTTTGTTTTGAAGGGAAGCGAAACCCTTTTCAAGGTTCCCTCACTTTGAGACACACACAATTGGACTCTTGTCGGCTCCAGTACTTATTTGCGGTGGGCATGAAGCATGCATCGCGGAGCGGGGTTTAGGCAAACGCCTTCCGCCAGCAGGAGCTGCAAAAGCGCCCCACGGATTGCTCTTTCCGGACAAAGGGATTGGATGCAGTGCTGGAAGTCTAGAGCCAGCATTTGCCCACTGAATCGCTGCATTTTTCTCGACCTCTCCAACTCAAAAGCTAAGCTCGCGAACGCATGTTGTCCATGTTCTGTTGACCCAACAGTGGACTTGTTTCCCCCACCCACTAATAGTGGATGATGGGCATGTACTCGCTTCCTTTCTGCTCCCCAGCTAAAAGTCTAACTTTGAGTGGTTTAATGGAAAATCCATTAGTTGGCAACAAGTTAAAGTCATAACATCCAAGCAACATGCGCAGAAGTTTGGATCAACCACCAAACTGGTCCTCCCCTCATTGTGGTGACTGTTCGTGTTTGGGGGCGTCCATATCCTCCGCTGCCATGCTCCCAATCCCACGAGCCGGCCCACCTCCCCACCCACCGCGGTTGACTGGGTGCCCAACGTCGAGCCTGACGCGAAAGAAGCAGCGGGGAGCACGGAAAATGTGTGAGCCCTTTCCATTTGTGTTTTCGCCAAATGGCAAAATGATAAAATACGTCCACAAATAAATTCCTTTCAAAACCAACAACCTAGGGAAAATAATTAAGACAGATTCTTAGGCTAATGGAAGTTATATGTCATATACCTTTTCTTAGGCCCGCCTACATTGATGTGCTTGATTCCGGCCCATGAGTCACAATGAAGTACCTGGTATTGAAGAGGTCGACCCAAAACCACTTACATCCACAGGCCGGAAGTCTGCACCTATGGCAGGGACTTGCACTAGCCCCTACTATGTGTCTTAATACTCGGTTGCTTTCTGCTCCCCTGCTAAAAGTTTAACTTTTACTGGTTTAGTGGAAAGCCCATTAATTGGAAAAAAATTAAAGTCCTAACATCCTGCATAGACCCCTCATGCTGTATTGATGCCTTGCCGTTTTCCTTGGGAGAGTGTTCTGAGGAACGCGTACTCAGCCAGATCCGGTGCAACATTTGATGAGAATGGCGAGGCTCTTCCGGTCAAAACAGAGGCTTCACATCCAGGATCATCCATGGTGAGGTGATGCGCTAGCCAAGACCCCAAAGACTTGAACCCAAGGCTTGCCCGAGAGGCCCCGGGCGGTCATTTTGGAGGAGGAGCGAAGCCCAACGAAAAAAGAAACGTCGGGCTGCAGGCTCACATTGGCATCAGAGGCACACACCGAGCTTCTCTGAGCTTGGAGGTTTCTGTTGGATGCTTTAAGAAACCCCGACATGGAGGCTTAAGCAACAAACTCTCCTGAGAAAACATGTGTAGCCGTTTGGCGTAGAGTTTTATTTATTTTTGAAACGGCACATTGTTGGTGCATTTGAGGTGAGTTTTGCTTGGTGTGAGTGTTTCTGAGTAGCGGAGACCCTGTGCCATGTTAAGGGCCGAGTCGTACTTTGAGAAGCCATATTCAGCATACGTTCAAAAGGATACCAGCCACTCTCTGCGTGTCATAGCAAAAGTTGGGTAATGCTGTTGGCTTTCATGAAAAGAGGGACGCTTTGAAACTCTGGCAAACCGTAGATGCTGCAAGCAAGTGGTCCAAACCTTGGTTGCACACTCTTGTAATTTGATGACTGTCTGCTGGCCACAGCCGTGATGAGCTCGCTTGCTTTGCACCGGCTCAGCTCGAAGCCCATCAGCATTGTCAAACATATCACATACCGGAAGCTTCCCTGATAGTTGTGTTTATCTTTGTCTCTTTCTCTTTCAAGTGTTTTTGTTTTCTTTCGCTTTCTTTAATTCTTTCTTTCGTTCTTCGCTCTTTCTTTGTTATTTGTCCCTTTCTTTCTTTATTTGTTCTTTGCTTGTTTATTTCCTTGGTGGTTCGTTCTTTCTTCGGGCAGGGTTTTCCTTTGTTGATAAAATATGTGACATATTGCCCGCACTGCTTCGCTGTGCACGGGCCACCAGCGTGTCGAGTGTTTATTTGTGACATGTATGCTCATATATATATATATATATATGTATATATGTATATGTATATATATATACATATGTATACATATGTTGACATGTATACGTACTTCTTTCTTTGGTTGTCCTTTTTCCGCTTGCTCTGTGCCTCTTTTTGTTTGTGTGATTCTCTCTCTCTTTGTCTTCATCGTTTCTCGTTTTTGTTTATCTAGTGTTGCTATTGTTTTGCTTTGTCTAATTCATTATTGTCTTTCTCTTTGTCTTGTTCTTTATCTGGATCCTGTTTCGTTTTATCCGTCTCCCTCTTTCTCCTTCTCATGCGTGTTTTATCGTTCTTTTGATTTATTATTGCTTCTGTATTTTTTCTTCTCTCTTGTTCATTACAGCTTTGTATAGTCTTGATGTATTTGTTTTTTGTCGTTGTCTGTCTTCTTCTTTTTCTTTGTCTCTAAAGCGATTTCGCTTTCCCCTTCTTTTTCAATGTCGCGAAAAGCGCGAGCGTGCCCGAGCCAGCGAAACCAAACAAAACACACACACACACGCACACACACACACACATACACACACACAAAAAGCAAACAAACACAGACACACACACACACAGAGAAGAAAACACTTAGAAACAAATAAAGGGACACATATCACTCCTGATACGTGCAGCGCGTGGCAAGCGCACGTCGAGTCGGGGGCGGCATTTCTCCGTGGCCTTTGCAGCCGCTGAAGCCGGCCCAAGTGAGGCAAAGCGTCGCCGGCCAAGCAGTTGCCAGCCTGGGCCGACACCAAATCCATGGCCCAAAGCCATAGAAAGGTCTCGAGGCCGAAGAGTTTTGGTCGTTGACCTCACCTTCGGACCGAGAGGCAACTGGGGTTAGTGTTGAGATTCAGCTTGCCATGAGTCTGGGTGAATTATAACACCGAATTCACCCCAAATGGTGTTGTTTATGTGGGGAATGGCCCCCAAACCACATTTCAGGCTGCTGAAATATGATAATTCACTCTGGTTTAGATTTGGACCATTCTATTTTCTAGATACAAAAAGAATCACCCTAAATCGCATTTGTTCCCTATATTAAATTAGCTCTTTCCTTTGTTCATGTCCTTATTTTGGCATGGTTTGAGAATTTTGCGGGTGTTTGGTCCGGTACATTTTGTGGGTTTAAGGTAGTTTGGAGTGGGTTGGGGTGGGAGGGCTGGGTTTGGTTTAGGGTGGGTTTCAGGCGAGCTTAGGGTGGGTGTTTTGGGGGGTTAATAGGTTGAGATCGAGGTTGCTTTGGGCTGGGGGTGCTTGCTTTCAAGGGGACTGGAACAAATCTCACTCAGTGAGAGAGTCTTAACTTAGTTCTAGGGCCATTTTCGGGGATTCTTGTTTTCGGGAAACCCGCAAAAACCCGGTGGAAACAACCGGCTTGTGAAAAGAACGATTGCTGAAAAGAATAGGGAATCAACCTGTTTTGATTGGTGAGGAACGGCTTCGACCCATGGCGGGCAAGCGCGTTATAAACATCGTAGTCGATCCATCAGGAACCAAAGCCAGAGTTTCAAACGGACTGCCTTTCAAAAAGCATTTGCTTGATTTCAGTTTAAGCTTGCAACAAGGCATAAGTCCCTTTATGTGGGTAAGTAAGGGGATGACTAAGGTCCAGGAGGGCATTGGATCTTCACCGCACGGACACTGATTATGAACATGGTTCTTAGTGATATAACCCGTCAGTTCTATCTGTGAAGTTCGAGGTTGGTACATCCTATCGGACACCTTTCGAATATTCGGCACGGAATTTGGCTTCCGCTGCTTTGGGTCCCGGGGCTTCCTTCCGCTGCAACCAGGCGAATGCAAAAATCATTCGGGTGCTACTCGAAAAGGGGAAGCTGGGAATTGTTTTTTTTCTGGAACCGGTGTTTGTTGGATGACCAAAAGCAGTCCAGGAGTCAGACATTGACAGCCTTACCATAGGTGTCCTTTTTGGAAAATAGATGGCCCTGGTAGATGATTGAACCACCAAATAAACCAGGATCTGCTATTGTTTGAGCAAAACAACCAAAACGGACACATATGAGCCTTACATTACAGCCTGAACCGTTGGCCACGATCTCTTCCCTGTACCCATACAGCCCCCACGAACCCGCATATGTTTTTCCTTGCGCGCGATTTTTCTGGAAACAACTCCACCAAGGGGCAGGATAGGGGCGGCTTTTTCCTTGGATCTGCAATGGAACTGGATTTATGTCCTGGCCATATCCAAATCGGGGTCTTTGTTTCATTGATTTTAAAGGGAACCCCCTCCACTCACTTCCTGAGTGGACTGGCAGGGAGTCCCTTCTTGATTCCCCCTAAGAAAAAACCGTCCAAGCAACCAAAAAGTGAGCAACTCGAGCCCAGAAGCTCAGGGATTAAGTCAAACAACCCACACACACCAAGGCCCGCTGTCCGTTGCGTCACATGGACCGAGGGCCCCGCCCCCGCGGCCCCGCCCCCCGCGGCCCCCGCTTCGCCCCGCCCGGGCGACCGTGCGAGGCTCAGCTTCACCAGGCCCCGAAGCTTCGCGACATGGGGCCTTGCCAGCGCGAAGGTTTGGTCTCCGGAGGTGATCATGTTTTTCAACAGAAATGGCAACATATAGATATATATATATATATATATATGGCTGTGGCTCAAAAAAACCGGTACCAAAATGAAACCCTGGTAAGTGGAAACATGAACCAAAACCTGCGTAACCCATCCTGATTAATTTTGAGCCACCCCCAAACGAGGTCCTCCAGTGGAGAGGTTCGAATGAGGGTACCAGATCACCTTTTGGGGCCATGACTGGAAAAATCAGGATGTCAAAAGCTCAGCAGCTTCGGCAGGTGAGTTGAGTGCCTGCGGGTGTTCGTGGGTGGGTGTGTGTGTGTGTGTGACACTGTTTTTCCCTTGTGGACCATCTCCTCCTGAACCGGTTCGTGGGCTTTTGAGCGCAAAAGCCGAACTTTTCCGACAAAATGGGGTCTCTCGGGTCTCTCAGAAAAATGCCCCCCCCCCCCTTCTGGCTGGTGGGTGTCCTTTTGGTTCCCAAGTGCCAAACGGGGGGCCCAGCTCCGAATCCCGGATAACCCCCCGTCCAAGTGGCACATAGGAGAGGAAGTTCGTGGCCAGGTCTAACCTATGCGATCCAACAGCGGTGTCATTGGCCCCTAAATAAATAAATAAATATGTATAATATATTATATATACATAAAAGGGCATACAGAAAATCAGTCGGATTCTGACTCTTAGTTTAGTCTATTCTAAAAAAGGAACACAGTTTGTTTCAGACCCCGGACTTTGTCACGGGGATTTCCTTCCTGACAAATCCTGCACCAAGTTGGGGCAACTGGTGCCTTGCGTGGCTTTGGTCCACACGAAAAGCCTCACGTTGCTGGGGACTTCTCAGGCGAAACAATCAGAGGTGGGACCGAAAGTTTTTGGGCTACATAAGTACTACCCCTTTGCTGGAATCTTGGCAACTATTCCAAAACCCAAGTCTGATCATTAAGCCCTGAACTCAGCTGGGAGGTGACTGTAATGGCAACCCAGAAGCAAACACATCAGTGCCAATCAAAGCTCATGAAGCTTAGGAGTAGTACCAATGATTTCTTGCTTCCCAAGTGGATGGCCCAAACAAGTCCAAACTGTTTATTTGGCTACAATGGTCCAAAAACAAAAAGTGACTGACCAGGAACTCAGGAAGTGAGGTTGATATTTCACATGGATAATACTGATGGACAAATCCTGCACCTGGTGCTCAGGGAACGAGTTCAACCCCTGTAAACCATCCATTTGTGGCTGTGGGTCAAAAATGGGTACCCAAAATGGAACCCTGGTAAATGGAAGCTAGGACTAAAACCTGCAGTCCATATCCTGGTGGTCAAATTTTGACCCATACCCATTTATGGCTTCCATTCGGGACTTCCCGAAACTTGGCTGGAATTAGGACCCCAGCATGTTTTAATCATTGTTTTTTGCCTGGTTAGCACAAAACAAAGGGGACCCCAAAAAAGCACAAAAATGAAAAAGGGGAGCTAATTCTGGGGAAGAAAAACCGGCGTCCATTCAATTCTTCTCATTGCCTCTCGTAGCCTATCGAGGCTTCGGCTCTTCTAGGCCCCGCAGCTCTCCCAGACTTTTCGGCAGAAGCTGCAGCCTACGACAACGAGCCCGGAATTTTGGGATCTTCACCGGTTTTGGGGACTTGAAACCAGAAGAAATGGATGGTTTTTTGGGGGGTCATTCCAACTCATTTGATGAGAGCCAGCAAGGAAACAAGAGTCTACGAAACCCGCTGGAAATTCCACTCTAAGGTCTCAAGATCTTATTTGGGGTCGTTTCGGGTCAAAGGCCATCATACTCAAGGGACTTGGCGGTTTTTGGGGGACTGGACATGCTTGCTTTGGGCATTTGGCCCATGTCCTCAAGAAACTCCGGGTCGCAACAGACTCCAGTAAAGTTGATGCCAAGACAAACAGACCTCTAGACCTTCGGGAAAATGGGCACCCGACAATTGTGGGCTCGAAGGGCTGATTTCCCGTTCTCTTCCTCGTTCAACTACGTTCAAAGCGCGGGCAGGGAGGCTGCCAACCAAGAAGAGAGCTTCAACTGCCAACGACAAGACCGCCCGAATAGCAAGGGCTTCTCCAAAACAGGACACACACACAGACACACACACGCCCACACACACAAAAAAAAATAATCACGCCAACCACGATGTTTGGTCTTTTTTGCTTTCAGAGAACTCAAAATGGCGCACCCCAAAAAACGCGCGCGTCGAAACGCCCCGCGCTGCTTCTTTTGCCGCTGGCCTGTTGTTGGAGAGCTTTAGCTCCTCCAGCTGTCTCAGCTGGCCTGGTGAGTCGCCACAGGCCGTCGAGCGAGGAACGACCGTTCGAAGGCGGGGGTGGGGGGAAAAAATGCCGTGGAGGGACGAGATCCTCTTCGCACCACTTTGAAACCAGGGAAACCATTGTTTGTTGGTATTTGCAGGGGAATCATCATTCTAGGGTTTCTTGAGTGGTGCGAAATGGATTTCGTCCATCCGCAGTAGGTACCCTGTCTCCTAACATGGCACCTGACAGGGAACCCGGTCCCTCCAAGAGGAAACGGTTCTTCCAGGTCCCACAGGCGCCATGTTAGTGGGAGGAAGGGTACCTCAAAATGGAGTGCCCTGGTACATGGAAAGGACTACCTGGTGGCTTAATTTTGACCCGAAACCCATGTGGCAAATAGGGATCACATTGAAAGGCACATGGGGGTTGGTCATGCAAAAGGGCCCTGTTCTTCCATTTGCTTGAGCCCCTGCGAGGAAAAAAACACATATGTCCAGGGGCGAAAGATTCCCTTTACAAATTAAACATATTCTTAAGCACATTCAAAGGCACATGGGGCTTTGTCAAGTTGGGGCCCCTTTTTGGTATTGAAATACCAGCACAAAAAGGGTGTTTTGACGGTTTAAAAGGGGGGAAATTGGCATGTGCTGCCAACGCACCACATGAAACCAAACATTTGTCAAAGTGGGTTGAATCAGTTGAATCCTGCGAACAAACTGAAAAGCAATATGGCGAAGGGCGAAATTCTACGTGGCGGGATGCACTGAGCTCTTACACGGCTTCCCTTGCGCCCGGTGCTTTCTGCAACAGTTTCAATTAAAACCTGGTCTTGAAATGGTTCTCGTGGCTCACATGGGAAGCCTATTGATCGCAATTGTCCGAACTGCAGGCAAGTGCGGGGAATCCGGAGCATTTGTCCGGACGGTCAACTCGTCAAACTAAACACGCGGAAGTGTTGCGGCGTTGCTGATTGCTCCGTGGCATCTGGCTCAATTTTCAGTGAGCCTGGCGTTCAAACCAAATTTATGTGCCGCAAACACAGACTTTGCGTACAAAACCAACCTGGAGCAACACAAACCTGGACCAACCAACCTGAAGCAAACATTTGTGGTACCCAGCACAGCCCCGGAGCCCGTTGCTCCGATGCCCGAACCCGCACCAGCCCTTCCAACTCGTCTCAAAGAGTTCGATGCCGTCCGGCCGCGTTTAAACGGATGCCAAGAGCCGGGGCGCTGCAAAAACCCACCAAAAGACGTGCAAAAACCCACCAACCAAAACGAAATCGTGGCAACACCAGCACTCCCAGAACCTGGAGCACCCTTCGTTACCTAGATCTCTGCCCTGAGCCCAAACGTATTGCAAAACCAGGGATCGCCACTAAAATATGGCAAACGTACACCTTTTCCTGCTTCGAGCATTTTTCCCAAAACCGGGCTGATCGGTCCTCCAAGATGATCGGTCGCTGAGTGCATTAAAACAACAAAAACGTAGCAATTGCCCGCCTGCCTCCGGATGGAAGAAGGGGATTTGATCGAACTTTTTTCGGGGGGCGAGCGTTTTTTGGGGTCGTAGCTAAAAAGTAGTTGGGTGCTTCAGGAAGTCTAAAGACGTCAAGTCTGGCCAGTGCGGCCTATACTCTCTGGCAAAGATGTCAGCTGGTTGTCGGAGAGGCTGACTCCTGGCAACACCGTAGCGACATGGATGTTCAAGCCACTTAGCAAGGTTGGACCATGGTGATGAGAGAGAGGACTAACCCGGCTTGGCCCAATTATGACTATATGGTTTCCTACCTATCTGACGTGCGTTGAAGATCCAAGTAGCAAACGCGACTCGCTTACTTCACGACACGCATGCAGCGAGGCTTGCACAAATTCTGAACCTTCTCGAAATACATGTCGCATGCTTCAAGGAACGACAGGCATTGCAATCATGAGCCTGTCCCATCTCGTGGGGTTCACGAAAAGGCTCGCATGTGAAACCCCTGTCCTGCTGAAAAGAAGCAATTCACACATGGCGCTTCCTGAAAAGCTTGCTTTCCGCAAAATGGTTTCCCGCGCTGGGTCTCGTCTTGGTTCCCTTCCAAAGGGACAGTGAGCCTCCTGGCTTTGGCAGAACTTGAGTGTCCCTGCCCGAACCCGAATTGAGCATCTGTTGACGGATTCCTCAACCCAGATGACATACCCCAGGTATGTTTTAACCACTTGTGTGATTCGGACTTTTTGCTCAGAGGGGACACAACCACAAATTGGTTGGCAAAATGGCGAGAGCTTAAGCACAAGGTTAGGTCCGACAAATGGGTGTATCTCTTGAGACGGCTGGGAAACCAGTTGAGACAGTCTCTTGGCCTTCCCGGACCAACCTTTCTGTTCCAAGCCCTCCCTAAAAAAAACCGACCCGTTTCTGTCCGAAATCACTCCCAAGCATCATGTTCAGCCCCCCCAAACCTGCAGGCCCTAAGGCCCTAAGGCCAGGCGAAAAAGTTCTCTTGCAAATGGTTGCCCAGCCCCACATCCAATGACCCAATCCTAAACCCACCCAAACCTGAGTCAGTTTCATGGTCAGACCCCAGATTCGAAATCAATTGCCTTTGGAGGGGACCCGGTACTTAGACGGTTAGCGAAAATGATGGAAACCAAAAAGGCGAAAGCTAAAAGCAAAGCGAATCAAGTCTGCCGATGCAAGTAACTTGTGTGTGTGTGTATGTGTCTGCTTCTAGCGGAACCCCCAAAAATGCCAAGCAAACCGGCTTGCCTTTTGGCGTCCCTTCAAAAACCCACACACCCAAATGCCAAGTGTTGGATTGTCTTCAAATAGTGTTTGGAAAAAATCCAAGGGTTTCCTCTTGGCTTCTCTTTCCAACCACCCAACCAGGGTGAATCCACGCCATAAAAGGAGCCATACATGAACCACTCCCAAGAAAGGTTTTGGGGCGTTTGGTTCTTCCTCGCCTTGTTTTCCCTTCTTGTTTCTTTTTAGCCACACCCATACTTTCACCACCCAAAAAGGTTTGGGCTTTTGGTCTTCTTACCTCTTCTCCCCTTTTTGTGTGTGCCTTTTCTTTTTGAAATGGTTTGGTGTTGTTTTTGTTGGGTTTTTTCTCCTGCCTGTTTCCTCCATTTTTGCCTTTTTTTGGTCCCTCCAACTCTCCCAAAACGGGGCCAGCACCCGTCTTTCAGCTCCAAGGCCCGGGCCCTGCAGGGCCTCCAGCAGGCCGAAGCTCTCCGGCAGGGCGCTCAAGCCTGGCCCGTGCTGAACCCCTTGCGGGAGTTCAAGACCTCCCCCGCCCCCTTTTGGGAAAAACGGGACACCCCAAAGAAAAACGCTTTGCTGAACAAAAAAAGAAGGGGAACAAAAGAGGCAAGAAAGAAACCAAAAGCCGCTCTTTGTGGGAGGTTGGAGAAACCAAACAAAAAGGCAAGAAGCAAAAAAGGGTTAAGAAAAAAAGAGGAGAAACCAAAAAGGGGGAAACCCAAGAACAGAAAGGGGAAAAAGGCAAGAAAGAACCCAAAGCCGCTCTTTGTGGGAGGTTGGAGAAACCAAACAAAAAGGCAAGAAGCAAAAAAGGGTTAAGAAAAAAAAAGGAGAAACCAAAAAGGGGGAATCCCAAAAACAGAAAGGGGAAAAAGGCAAGAAAGAACCAAAAGCCGCTCTTTGTGGGAGGTTGGAGAAACCAAACACAAAGGCAAGAAGCAAAAAAGGGTTAAGAAAAAAGAGGAGAAACCAAAAAGGGGGACACCCAAAAACAGAAAGGGGAAAAAGGCAAGAAAGAACCAAAAGCCGCTCTTTGTGGGAGGTTGGAGAAACCAAACAAAAAGGCAAGAAGCAAAAAAGGGTTAAGAAACAAAGAGGAGAAACCAAAAAGGGGGAAACCCAAAAAGAGGAAACAGGCAAGAAAGAACGAAAAGCCGCTCTTTGTGGGAGGTTGGAGAAACCAAACAAAAAGGCAAGAAGCAAAAAAGGGTTAAGAAACAAAAGAGGAGAAACCAAAAAGGGGGAAACCCAAGAACAGAAAGGGGAAAAAGGCAAGAAATAACCAAAAGCCGCTCTTTGTGGGAGGTTGGAGAAACCAAACAAAAAGGCCAGAAACAAAAAAGGGTTAAGAAAAAAAGAGGAGAAACCAAAAAGGGGGACACCCAAAAACAGAAAGGGGAAAAAGGCAAGAAAGAACCAAAAGCCGCTCTTTGTGGGAGGTTGGAGAAACCAAACAAAAAGGCAAGAAGCAAAAAAAGGGTTAAGAAGAAAGGAGAAGACACCAAAAAGGGGGAACCCAAAAACAGAAAGGGGAAAAAGGCAAGAAAGAACCAACAGCCGCTCTTTGTGGGAGGTTGGAGAAACCAAACAAAAGGCAAGAAGCAAAACAGGGTTAAGAAAAAAAGAGGAGAAACCAAAAAGGGGGAAACCCAAGAACAGAAAGAGAAAAAGGCAAGAAAGAACCAAAAGCCGCTCTTTGTGGGAGGTTGGAGAAACCAAACAAAAAGGCAAGAAGCAAAAGAGGGTTAAGAAAAAAAGAGGAGAAACCAAAAAGGGGGAAACCCAAAAACAGAAAGGGGAAAAAGGCAAGAAAGAACCCAAAGCCGCTCTTTGTGGGAGGTTGGAGAAACCAAACAAAAAGGCAAGAAGCAAAAAAGGGTTAAGACACAAAGAGGAGACACCAAAAAGGGGGAATCCCAAAAACAGAAAGGGGAAAAAGGCAAGAAAGAACCAAAAGCCGCTCTTTGTGGGAGGTTGGAGAAACCAAACAAAAAGGCAAGAAGCAAAAAAGGGTTAAGATAAAAAGAGGAGAAACCAAAAAGGGGGAAACCCAAAAACAGAAAGGGGAAACAGGCAAGAAAGAACCAACAGCCGCTCTTTGTGGGAGGTTGGAGAAACCAAACAAAAAGGCAAGAAGCAAAAAAGGGTTAAGAAAAAAAGAGGAGAAACCAAAAAGGGGGAATCCCAAAAACAGAAAGGGGAAAAAGGCAAGAAAGAACCAACAGCCGCTCTTTGTGGGAGGTTGGAGAAACCAAACAAAAAGGCAAGAAACAAAAAAGGGTTAAGAAAAAAAGAGGAGAAACCAAAAACGGGGAAACCCAAGAACAGAAAGAGAAAAAGGCAAGAAAGAACCAAAAGCCGCTCTTTGTGGGAGGTTGGAGAAACCAAACAAAAAGGCAAGAAGCAAAAAAGGGTTAAGAAGAAAAGAGGAGAAACCAAAAAGGGGGAAACCCAAAAACAGAAAGGGGAAAAAGGCAAGAAAGAAAAAAAGCCGCTCTTTTGGGGAGGTTGAAGAAACCAAAAACAAAGGCCAGAAAACCAACAACCCAAACCATGCTTAAAAAAAGGGCAAGCGAGACGCATGGTGTTCTGCCCTTTTTGGGAGAGTTGGAGAAACCAAAAAACAAGAAGGCCAGAACAGCAACAACCCAAACCATTGTTAAACAAAAGAGAAAACAGGCAAGAAGACCCAACAAGACTCAAACCTTTTAGGGTGGTGAAAATCTGGGTGTGGCTCCTGTTTGCAATCGCGTGGCTCCTCAGTCCCGTTTGGGCGGTTGCAAAAGGGAAACCACAAGGACAATGCCATTTGGGGTCCACGCCCGTTTTGAGGACAACCCCAAAAACGTGTGTGTGTGTGTGACCTGCGAGGGATGGTCATACATTCACAGCAGTCCTGTTTCAGTTTGTAACCCTTTTCAGGTTGGTTTAAAGGGAAGCCAGAAGGAAAACCGTTGCTATCCTATGTTGACACATAGCCATTTCGACTTGTTTCGATGCATGAAGCCAATGGGACGCACGGGGACACGTCTTCCTGGACATTCCACGAGCCACTTTTTGCCAGCCAGCCCATCCAATTGCCCCGGCGGCTGTTCATGAGCCAGGATAGGGAGTCAACCGTCAAACATTGCCCTAGCATCAAAGAGTGCCAGGTACCTATACCGGGCGCCACTTGAGGCTACTTCACTCTTGTTGCAGCATCGCCCTTGTTCTCGGGGAACATGGGACTAGCCCATCCCACCCTGCCTACCATGCACCATGTTTGCTTGGCAAGGAGTCATTCCCAAATCCCAATGCCAGGTGCTTCCCAGACCACTGCAGCTGCTCGCACACGAGCTCTCTCGCCAACGCGCCTTCCCCGCGAAGGTCCAGGATGGCAAAATCCGCCAGATCCTCTGCCGGAAGCTGCAAGCTCGCTTCGCACCGCGCCCGAGATGGCACGGAAGTCGGTGAATCCATGTCTTGAACATCGAGCTGAGCATACAAGCCGGACTCCGAGCTAGTCAGGAACCACCAGGGCCCAAGATGCACGAATTCCTCGTGTAACAATGGGTAACCAGAGAAACCTGACCAAGATTCGCACGGCGATGCTTTCCTCTTGGTGTAGCTACGTACTTGTAGACACTCGTTTGGAATGGTGTTTAAACAATCGATGGTTTGCCCAAAGGCAATAGCCCAACAGAGTACTCGTACTATCCAAAAATACAGAAACACAAGCCCATGTCGCGAAACGTTGTCGACACTCTTGTTTGTTGGTGCTTGCTTTAAATTTGGCAGGGACAAAGTTGCTTGAGCAAATGGGTACTCGTGGCAAAGCATCCAAAAGGGGGGGGGGCAAGGCCCTTCAAGGCCTCTTTGGACTCTCCTGCTGAACCTCAATAAAAGGGAATCTCGATTTTGAGTTGGTACCCTTTAAGGGTTCTTTGAAGGGAAATCCTCGCAATAAGCTGGGTATATCTTCCAAATGACTACTTCCCCATTGAATTCGAGGCTCCCTGGTATGAAAGAAGTGGGAATGCACCCCTCATTCCCGCATTCCCGTTCCTGAGGGTTTGCCGTATCTTGCAATCCTCGCTGCCAAAATGCAAATTGTTAAGAATCACGCAGACTAAGCTCATGCATCTCCAGCTTGAACATCGCAACGCGCACCACGCAACATACGCAGAGGACATCTGACCCCATGGTTTTGTGGTGTTCTCCATTAGGAGCCGCCAAATTGCTTTGGGGCCCCAAACCAAGACCTCGACTAGGAGGAGTCCTCGAAACAGTCCACGCTGGCCGCGCTCGCTAAGGCATCTTCCTTCCGCACAGATGCGTGTCTTAAAATAGGGGACCCCCAAGACAAATGGACGTTCCTTTAGTTTCCCCTGAAACCAACGTAAAAAAGGGCACCTCCAAAAAAGGACGGCCATTGCTTCCATGCTTCTCGCAGGAAACGGTCCCCAACAAATGCAATTGATGTTCCTTTGAATGACAATGAGCGAGTCCACTATTTTGAAAGACATCATTTTTTAGAAATGCAGTGAATCCTAAAGGAGTCGTCCCCACATCTCAATTGTGGTCACATGGGGGATAAGACTGAACAAAGCACAAACATCTGGCTGTGGCTCAAAAAGCCGGTACCAAAATGGAACCCTGGTAAGTGCAAACATGGACAAAAACCTGCGTAACCCCTCCTGTTTAATTTTGAGCCACACCCATCTATCTATCCGACTTCCAACATGAAGTGGAAAAGGGGGCCGCTCCAAAGACTCTCCGCTCGTCAGCATCCATGATCGGAGGGAGCACTACACTTCTAGGTCCACTTTCTCGTTCAAGAGGGCAAGGGGAAAGCCCCATAACCACGTCCGATTTCCGTGCTAGGCAGCGTGCATTTGCTTGCGTTTACCGGGACTCCCAACGCTTGAAAATGAGTAAGGACCGCCAACAGTTGCAGAACCCTGAAGGCTTCCCCTTTAAGCGCATGGGAAGCTTTACAATCCCCGCACCAACAGTTCTCTTTTTGTGCCTGCAAAAGCACAGGATGATTTGTTGCACGAGAATCCTTCGCTGGACATGTCGGCGAGCCAAAAGTTTTTTTGGATAACGGGCGAGCACGGGCAAGTAGGCATAGCTGACATGCCCGTGTGCATTTTTGTCAAAGTACCAGTGGCATTTCCTTGGTTTTGCATGGAAACTAGAAGGTCACCAGGCATGTTGTGTTCACCAAATCGGGCACCCACTACCTTTGGTCGGCTTTGGGGAAAAACAACACAACAAAGGATTCACGGGTTCACCACCCAATTGCCAGCGCCGGAGTCCAGTTGAAGACACCGCTCTGCCAGCGCCTAGCGAGACTAATGGATTCCAAAGGGGGCATTCGGGCCCGAACCCCATGCGCAACCGTAGGTGTTCATCAAAAACCGTTCAACCCACGTTTTGATCAGAGGACACTAAACCCACTTACCGAACATCCTGCTTCCTGCGGAGATCCGATTTCATGGAAGCTGCGCCCTCTGTCAAGATCATCAACCATGAGGCATCGCAACAACTTGGGGCACCGTGAAGCCAACCATGAGGGATCCAACTTGCTTTGTTCCACGTGATTCTATGGTCCAAAACTCCATCTGCGTGCTTTGGCCATGGCTCCTTCATTCGAAAGCCTTACAATCGAATCCCAAAAAACTGCAAGAGAACCAAGTAAAGCGGTCCCAAACCATGGCACACACGCCATCAGCGCGAAGCGTGTTTGGTAACTGTGTGCCTCCTGGCTGTCAGGCTGTTCAGCCAGCAAGGCTTCCATGGCCAGCGGCAAAGCCAACTTTGATTTCCACTGGACATCAGATATCTGTGCACTTTCTCACGTGGATGGCCAAAACAAAGTACAATTTCACACTTTTTGTGCATGCCACAGGAAGTTGGTCCAAACCCAAAAAGTCGAAACTCGGTTGCTGTGTGCTCCCCTGCTACTGTAAAAGTTTTACTTTTAGTGGTTTAATGGCAAACCATTGGTTGGCAACAAGTTAAAGTCCTAACATCCAAGCAAAATCACCAAAGGAAAGTCCATAAACTCGGGAAGTAAGCTTTCCGGCTGTAAATGCACTTCTTCGTTCCTCGTGTGTTATGCTGAGCTGCGAGTTGGATGCCTATCCTGCTTGCGTGCGGTTTTGGTGGAGGATAAGTGGGAGGTTCTCTGTGACCCCGGTTTCTGGGGCTAACGGGAAACCACTAAACACCAAACACTAAGCAGCTGAAAACCTAAGGGGATGGCTGGGAACCACCAAGGTTTGATACTTTCTTGGCAGCCCTAGTGGTTTGAAAGATTTGCCTCACAGGGTAAAGAAGCAGGGGCTTCAAATGCGGGGTGTGGCGGTGTATTTGAGGTGTGCTTTTGCGGAGCAGCTTATCATAGCTCAGGCGCATGCATCATAACTCAGTGCTCAAAAGAACACTTTTGTCCAAGCACAATAATAATTGCATTGCTCAGAGTACGCCGAAGAACGAACAGCGTGGCAAGGTTGTGTCGGCACAACACTCACCGCGAGCAAATCTAACAGCAGCTGAGGATTCGAAACCTATTGTTGTTCGGCTCCACCAAGATGGTCAACACAAACATGGCCAAGGGGTTTGTTGGGCATTGCTCACCTACGATTTCATCCCGCTTTCACCCCTCTTCCGACTCGTCTCTCATCAGTGTGCGCAAATCACCTCTCGTGTCTCGTCGGCGTGATGGTCTTGCTATCCTTGATGCCCCCTGCCACTACGGTCCATTTGGTGCATACAATCTGAATTTGAGCACCAGCCAGTGAGCGACATCAAACGCCACCCGCAAACAGCCGCATTTGCGAAGGGACGTGCTCGTCATCTTTTTTCCGAGGCCATAAAACTAACCATTCAGTTGGCCAGAGGCCAAACCAGGGGCAGACCTTTCTGATTTAACTAAATGCCGTGCGAAAACACCAAGTCCCCCCCTATCCCACCAGTTACCCTCTTTGCAATCGGGGATTCGACATGAATTTGTTTCCATTACGGTAGCCGTTTAACCCACCGTGTCGCTGGCCTCCTTATCTTGCAATTGTCAAAGCCCCCCGGGCAAGTGGTAGGTCAAGGAGAACGATCTCGGCTGCTGACTTTGATATCTTCCAGAAAGACGCCTTTCCTGTGGTTGTTGCAGGGAATTTGGGGTGTCTGTCCCCAAATCCACCGTAGGCTACAGTGATACTGATATAATATATGATATAGCCAAATCGCCCGAAAGGGTGGTCCATTTTCTGGTCTGCCTCACAGAATAGGACCAACGGTTGCAAATCAAACTCCAGAATTTTATCTTTCGTTTAATATTATATTTTTGTGTGTGGGTACATCGGCTGAGTTTGATGTTGCCCATCGACCGAACCGAGCTCAGCATCGGGCGCTGTACATAAGCTGCCGAGTGCAGTCCGTCACCTATCGGAAAGCACGTCAAGTCATCACCAAACTGGAGGAGTCTTAGCAATGAGAGTTTGATTGCGAGGGTGAAACCTGAGGCTGAAAAGCTTGAGCCACCCTCCCACCAACTAAGATGGAAGTGCACGAAGCTCCTTTCCAAGAAAAAAACATGTTCTTTTACAGCGGTCTGTGTCCATGGAATCACCGGTGGGAGGGTCAGCCGCTGAAATTCTGCGGCGTGGAAAATGCGTACGTACAAGTCACTGGAGACCCTCGGCATCCTCCGGTCCTGTCAGACGCTTCGCTCATGGCAAGATTTTCCCTGTACCCTGCACTACCTTGTACAAGCGCGTATATAACTAGAGTGCACAGCATTGATATCGCGTATATAGCTAGAGTGCACACTGATTTTGGATAATTATAGGAATTGTGTGTGTGTGAGGTGTGCGAGTGGGCTCTTAGAGACAACCAGCAACACGCGCATGCGTTTCTCCGTGGAAAAAAGAACGGCCGTCTTCACCAAAAGAAAACAAAACTAGTCAAATTTCACAAATCTTTCGCGACACCCGCCGCCGTGCCATTTGAGTGAGGCGGCGCTTCCATAGCTCCGGTTCCGGCTGGAAGTCACAAACTTTTGACCATGTATCTGCAAACCAGCTCGGAAACAAGGGAAAGCGTGCTGATCTTGCAAACGAGGGCGGGCATGCGCTACCATGGGCCAGCATCCGTTCATCTGCAACCTTCACATATAATCCTGGCCAATTAGGACCCAGCAAAAAGCTATACTTTTGGCCTGGCTAGCGGAAAACAAAGGGGATCCCAAAAAAGCAAAAACAAACAAAAGGAATTAATTCCGGGGAAGTAATATGGTCCAATGTGCGGAATGTCAGTGGCCACGAGGCTGGTGGCCGGATGCCTATTTCAAAGCAGTGCAGGGTCCCAGTGCGCCATATAGGCGCCAAGTGGCGAGCAACCCATCAATCCAGCAGCTTGTGAAAGAACAGAGTGCCCACCATTCCGACAACATGCGCCTCCACAACAGCCATGCAAGAATCGCACAGCCAAAGCCCAACGGCGGTCAATGCGCTTGAAGCGCCGGTATTTTCCAATTGATGCCAATACAAGCGCCAGCACCAGCATCACCGAAGCATATCAAAGGGCCAACACGCGTAGCTCGGCGCACCTCCATACGCTGCTCGTGCGAGCCACGCGCCAAACATCCAGGAGCCCCGCAAAAGTCCCCCAGTCAAAGCCTTCAACGATGGTCAACGGCAAATGTTTTGGGGGAAGGACTTGAAGTGATGCACACAGTGTGGCAGGCGCTCACACTCTTCAAATACTCGGGGTGACTCTGCCCCACCCCCCGGCATTCTAACCAAAACCTGACATAAGGGATTTCAAGTGAAGGCCCTGCGTCATGGTGCGCGCGTTTTATCCTCCGAGCTCGCCAGAGGCAGTAGTATGCAAAGTGTTGCTTTGCATTTCCGCTGCAAAGTACCTTGCGATCGGAGCGTGAGCGTTGGAACCTGTGTGAACGTTCGCACATGCTGCGGTTAGCATTGAGAGCACAAAGCCGCAAGTCTCAAATTGTGGCCTACCAGGCCAAGGTGCCCCAAAATGTGGGAAGAGAAGCACCCCACCATGGTGGCAAAGGTTTAAAGCGCCAACCCCGAAAAGCGGCCGCAAAAGGATTCTGTCACTTGCAATGCAGACACGCCGTGTTATCTCATGGTTTACTCATGTTATCGACTTGGAGTCAAGTCCTTGGCAAAAAAAAACAGAGGAAAATACAGGTTTTTCATCGCGGAGGGTTCGCAGGCACTTGAACAACGCCACCAATGGCACCGAACAGACAACTGCTTAGACGCTCCTCTTTATGAGCCCCCCGCTAGTGCATATATATATATATATATATTAGTGGTTGATCTAAATTCCTTTGTCTCGAAACGGCCATTCTTCGCGAATAAAAAAGTTACTTTCGCGAATCTTTCGCGGATTCATCGCCGTGCTCTTTTCATTTCTCGAGTCGGAGAATCGCAGCTTTTAAGTGCCAGCGTTGTAAGCGAAATGACGATTTCCCAACTCCAGCTGTAAAGTCGCAGCTTTTCATCAAAGGGGTAGTACATGACATGCGCCGGCTGGAAAGTCGCAGCTTTTCGTTCGCCGTGCAGCTCCAGCTTGAAGTCGCAGCTTTCCAGTACCAAGCTAGTATACTGACTAGATCGGGGCTCAGACTATACCTCCCCTTGCAATCGAAGCCTGCGCTTTCGCGCGGGCTTTCGCGGATCTTTCGCGGATCTTTCGCGAAAAATCACCCACGTTTCAGAGCGGAAAGCCACCGACTAACACCCACAGAAACACATACATAGGCTTGGAGCACTAACCAGCCAAGCAGGGTATCAAACTGTAGCCTCACCAGGCTTAATCAGCACAACATCAACAAAGTGTTTTAATCAGAATAGAAGGAAGGCTCAGCAGGAAAGATGAACGGTTCCACATATCATTGATTAACCAGATACAATTACGCAAAACTTTCGCGAGAAAAAAAGTTACTTTCGCAACTCCATCGCGAATCTTTCGCGGAGCTACCTCAACCAACACCGATGGTCACCGAATACTAAACTCCTTACAAGGACCTTTAGAACGACTCCCATATGTTTTGACCCACAGCCACATGCGCGCTAGCACGCGCCTTTTCTTAGCTATTTTGGGGGGCGAAGTATCAGATTGCTTTCAAGCTGCAGAGCATGGCGCCCTGTGACTCTGCAACCTGATTTACAACCAAAGCTGAGAAACATGCAAGTGGTTGTTGGTGTTGCCTCCAACAAAGGCACGTGCTCCAGTTTTCAGTTTGGCAACTGCCTGCTAGAGCGGTAGCGCGCGCTCCGAATTGCCTACGGTTTCTGCTTTTCGGCCACTCTTGTCGCAGCAGAGGACACTGCGCAGGATGCACGCGAACATCTTTTGGCCACTCCACATGAAGCTGCTGTAAACCTTCCCGCCCTGGGGCTAGCGCCCGGCCGCTGGGATGTACATGATGGTGCGGGCCCGCTTCATTTCGAAAAGGAAAACAACACGCAGGAACTATGCGCATAATCTACTAGGCCCTCCAGTAGAGAGGTTAGAATAAGGGTACCCTTTTTTCTGCAGTCTATTTTAGTAGGGGAGCCCCCCAAAAAAAGGGGTGTGAAAGGGCACTACTGGGGGACCTAGTCTATGTAGCTCCTTTCGCCGGCCTTTTGGAACGGAAGCCATATGCCCAGGCAATGACTTAAACCCAGGAGCACGAAACTGAGATCTGACTCCCCAAATCCATGGCCACCTCTCTTTAACTTGGCAAAATATTATATGTATACATATATATATATAATGTATACAGTATGAGTCAGTATGAGTGTAAGTTTTC